ATGTGTACACTGAAATGTTTATGTCCTCTTGTGAATTTTGGGTTTTAACTTGGAGACAAAATAGCACATGTGGAAATTTGGAGGTTGAACAGAAGAGTAATCTTCGATATCGATATTATTAAGTCTTAAGATGCTAATGAGGTTTCTCTTTCTGAGGTGCACACTAGCAGAAATGCTCTGGGGGGCCTCTTTGTAGCTTAGCCTTTGCCTCTTGACCTTTAACAACATCACACAAATTTATATAGTAACAAAAGACCCAGAAGTTTGGATATTTTAAAAAAACTACCATAATTTAAAGAAAAAAATCTCTCTTCTAACCATTTTTTCCCCCAAATGGCGATGCTAACAATTAAGCTCCCACTTCCCAAATATGTACAAAGTGGGTTCTGTTCTGGTACAGGTGACAAGGAGGTCAGCCCTCCCCAAACAATTCTGCTATGGTCTACTTCTTTTTCACTATATAGCATGAAGATGTAGATTTTAGAATGGAGGTTTTAGAACTCTCCTCCAGATTAGATTTGGAATCCAGAAATATATGCCACAGATGTTATAATTATCCCATGGCTCTCACATGAGTTCAGACATGTCTTACTTAGTACAGAGAATTTTCTTAGGAGTGGCCTGAGGCCCATCCTTAACAGAGCAAAGCAACCTGAAGAGCATAGGAGAGGCTAAGGTCTTTTTGCATTGATCATACTGGGCAGCTCTTGTGACCAGTCAGTTACCTTCTTTGGGCATGAATTTCCTTCTCATTCCAGAGAACATGCAAGAATTCCTATAAGTTGGTTGAGTTTGTCCATCACTGAATATCTTTGTTGTCCAAAACCTGTTATGTAGGGCACAAACCTATGTTACTCCAGGAAAAAGAGATGGATTCATAGTTAGGTCTGGAAATATTTTGGAGGTCCATGTCAGCACACTAACGATTCAGAGAAGTTCAGCATAAAGAGGACTATTTAATTTTGCTTAAGTCATATTTCTTACTGATAATGTGAGCACATTTCTTTCTCTCCCAACACACAATAATATCCCACAATTCAGAGGATGTTGCTGCAGACCAGCTGTTTAATCTGCATATTAGGCCAGACTCTTGGCTAACAACATACATAGATCCTCAGTGTTGGCTCCTTGTGGAAGAGCACTTATTCTCTGATTTGTTCTTATGCCCATCGGCCTGCTTAAGAGTTGTTCTGGGAATGAGGTACAGGGGGCCTTGCCATTATAGTCATTGCAGATGTCAGATTTGGTACATGATCCATACTAGCACCTAATAACCCCTGTTTTACTTAGCCTTTGAATCCTTGTGACCAAAATACTGCCCAAGAACCACTTAGAAGAGGAAAAGTTTATTGGGGACTCATGGTTTCAAAGTCCATAGATGGCCAACTCCATTGCTCTGGGCCCAGGGTAGAACTTCATGAGGGAAGGGTCCAGCGGAGGGAAGCTGTTCCCCTCACCGCAGTCAGGAAGCAGAGCTGGGGAAGGGCAGCCAGAAAGGTGAACCTTCCCAGGGCACCCCGGCGGCCCTCCTCTTCCAGCCACACTGCTCCTCAGCAAGTCCATTCAAACTGGGATGGACTGATTGCTACAGCTCTCAAGACTGAACCGTTTCACCTCTGAATATTCCTGCATTAACAGAAGCTTTTGGTAGACACCTCATATCCAAACTGTAATATACCCTTTTAATGATGTACCATGAAATGTCTGCCTTATATTTTGACTCATGTATTTGTTTCCTATGACTGATTTATCACAAACTTGTTGGCTTTACACAACTGAAATTTATCATCTTATAGTTTAGGAGATCAGAAATCTCAGATGGTCTCAGATGGGCTACAATCGAGGTGTTGTCGGGCCATGATTCTTCCTGAAGGCTATAAGGGAGAATTCTTCTTCTTCTTCTTCTTCTTCTTCTTCTTCTTCTT